CGGACACTATTTTTAAATCAAACTTGTTTCATCTTGTTTTTGTTTTAAGTGACAGAGCATATGATGAACAAGGTTCTATCTTAGTTTTCATTGCAGAAATTTCCTAATCCTTCCCAACAACTTTTGTGTGGGAAAGCAAATGGAGAGTTTGCATGAGAATATAGTCAGTCAGAAAGGAATGCTAAGGGAAACTAGGTAATGGTGAAACTGATGTCTGAATTACCCTTGATAATGAAAATGAAGAGACAGAAGTCACCTTTGCAAGCTCTTCCTGAATGCTGTCCCAGAAGAAGGCATGATCTGGATTAAAAAGAAAAAAGTGAGCAGAATGTGTAAGGTTAGCAAGGTTGGAGTCAGAACTTGATTAAATGTTGTTACACAATCTATTTTGTGTAAATTGTTGGTTTGTGTCTTAAATTAGTCCTTCAACTGTCATCACTAAAAGAAGGGAGTGGTGCTGGCAATGGGTGAGACCAACTGGCTGTGGTGTTATCACTAGAAAGACTATGATTGAAATAGACTGATTGAAATAGACCCATCTTGTGTTATATTAGTACGTGGGGACAAGAGCTTTAGAGTTCTTTGAATAATTTATTGCAAATAGTATTATTTAGTATGAATATAAACATTTTAGGAATTCCATAACGGTGTCTTTGTATTTACTATGAACATCTTTAATTAACCAAACTCTTCTAAATATTTTTGAAAACAATAATTATATATGTAAAATTAGAACTCATTGCTGAAGAGAAACTAAAATAGGTTTTACTAGATTTTGATATTCTCTGTAACTGGAACACAGAATATACACTTTCAGTCCCATGGTAGAGACCAGTAATTTTAAAATTATTTTATTTAAAAGAATTGAATGATACATGAAAGATTTTGCCAGCAGTAGCAGCGAAGCAGGTATGTTTTGATCATCACAACTTCTAGCTCTAAACACACAAGCTACAATTAAAAGACTCAAGTCAGAAAAAATTGAGATACGTTAGTGGACATGTTGCTGAAATCACTCTATAAAATAGGATAATGTTATACCAACTTAAATTAGGAATCATGAAAAAAGCATCCTGCTCACAGATGGGCAAACTAGGCAAAACAGGAATAATAACTAAAATGAAAAAGAGATGTAACACAGCTTCTGCAATGAAAGGAATATATTGTACCAAAACTACAAAATAATAGACTCCTACCCTGCAAACACTTAAGGATTGCTTAATTGTAAACAGGTGAGCAGTTCATCTGCCTTTAATGAGACAACTGAAAAGTGAAATGCACTTATGAGTCTGAGATCTAATGTAAGCATTATTGACTAGAGTATTAATTAATTGAGAAAGCAATAAAAAAGCAATGGTAGGTATGTACCTGGTAAATATGTGCCTTTTGTGCTATTGTTTTTGGCAGATTTGCTTCTTTCCTATGAACTGTGTCAATGAATCACATTGTTACCAGGGAGATGGACTGCAGGTGAGTTTCATAACCTAGCTGGCTTTCTTAACTTCAGCTCTCTAAGCTATTCATCCAATCTCCCTCTGTAGCTAAGGGGAAAGGAGATGTTTCTAGAAGCTGCTTTATCTCTTATCACCCTTTGGAGGTACTGATTTCTCTCTTCCAACTATAAAAGGAACCTAGGTGACTCAGCTTAAACTAAATATGTTTAGCTGGTTACAGTTAGGTTAAATGAAACATCTTAGGGTCTAGTGTTAGAATAAATGAGACAATGATGCACATATTGAACTTAATCTCACTGCAGAGGATGCATATAAGCATCAGGTCCTATTTCTTTTAATTAAAATGGTGTAGAATCCATTAATAATGACTTCTAAAAGACAGCTCTGCCTCACCATGACACACAGCACAAATGAATGTAAGTGCTGGGGTCATGCTAGGGGAACACGTCTTGCAACACACCTGAAGCCCCACAGATGCTTTGCAGCTTTGATGCTGATTCAGTCAAGCACACAAATAACTGGGAAATGACTCATGCTGAGAGGCAGATGCTTGCTGTTAATCCCAGCTTCCCAAATGTATGGAGTTTGTCATCATTTTTCATTGTGGTGAATATGTGTGTCTGGCCACTTTTGTTTCTCTGTTATCTAATGTTTGCCATGGACTATCTTTTCAGCCCATGTGCTGCAATCATTTGCTTTTCACTTGAAAGAATGTAATCAGTCAAAAATCCCATCAAAACCAGTTTCACTGAAGAAAAGACCTAAGCAGGAGAAGCAAATATATGAGGTAGGATGGAGAGGAATGTGCTCTGACCCTGAAACATCTTCTCTTTCAAATGTGATGTTGCAAATGTTTAACCACATGTGCATCTTTTCCTCTTAAAAGCTCAGCTAAGAAGGAGATGGAGAGTAAGAGAGAGAGAAAATGGGATGTTAATTATGTTTCCAGTTGATACCAAGCAAGGAGATGCTGCAAAATTGTTGATGATATTGGACAAGAAAAGTAATACGGAAATACCTAATAAGGCTGAAATTATGGGCAAAATGAGATACATTTGAGACAAATGCACAGTTATGTATCTACAGAAATCCACACAGGAATATGAATGCTAAATGTAGAGCCAGAAAGGAATGAAATAAAATTGCAGTTTGCAATACAGCGTGGCATCACAGGTATGCACACATGTGAGTCTGAATATGTCTTATATCACTGCACTTTTCTTATATATAACTAAAGCACATGCCCATTTTGTTAATCAGGAATAGTATTCTGAAGTATAGCATGGATTTAAACTAGTTTCTGAATGAGGGCTTTTGTCATTAGAAAAAAAAGCCATTGTCATTTCAGGCAAGAAATGCATAGGCATTGTCTCACAAAGCCCCACAAAGAGGTGTTGGCAGGCTCTCTGCACACATTTTCTAAGGGCTCTGGCAAGACAATTGTTTTTATTCTGTTCTGAATGAACAGAGATAGTCCTGGAGGGGAAATGGGAAACAATAAATGAAATATAAGGTGAAAAATCTGGCCCAGCTCACTCAAGTAATCACTCTCAACGTGTTTCTGTTGCTTTAGATCTCAACAGTGAGTGCTACACTATGTGTGTGAAACTGGAGATCATAGTCTTCATCCAGCAAAATAAAGACTGTGTGGAATAGTCTCGGACACAGGTATTTGTACCATTTTTCAATGAAAATAGGTGTAAGAGATGGCAAAAGCCATTTCCTTAATTATCTACATTGTCTGCAGAGCATTGTTTTGGTCAGTATTGTACTGGGTGCTGTGTGTGCAAAGAGCAGATGTCAGGTCCCACAGAGAAGTGCTGCAGAGTGTGCAGAAGCTGCCTAGGAAGGAAGCTTCCACACTGCCTGACTGAGCCCAGTGTGTGGAGCTGGCAGAAGCTTTGGGACAGAGTATTAGGATGCGAATATCAGTGCTGAGGTGGGTTCCTGTATTGCAGGAAGCAGAACTTCATTCTACCTTGTAAAGGAACAGAGCTTCATGAAAGGTATTAGCGCAGTAGGACTAGCAAAGCATGACTAAAGCCTTGTTGGGATGAAAGCTGTGGCTTTTATAAATCTACTAACAGTAAAAGAAAGACCAGGGAGACCCTCCATCCCCTATTAGATGCAGGAGGAAACTCATACCATCACCTGTTTAAGATTAATCACTTATTACTGTACAGCACTCTGTAATTGTGGCTAATGAAGACTGATATAGTCATTAGTTAACAGCTCTAAGTAATGTTCCTCATTTAGTGGTTTTTAAGCACTGGTGGCTCACTGCTCCTGTGTGGGAAGATCCTTGGCATTTTTCCCTCTACCTCACCTTCCTCCTTATGATGTGGCCTGAAGAGTTATGGTGAATGGAGTTAAATCCAGCTAGCAGCTGGTTACCAGTGGTGGTTCTCAGGGTTCAGTGTTGGGCCAGTTCTGTTTAATATTTATCAACAATCTGGACAAGGGGATTGAGTGTATCCTCAATAAGTTTGCAGGTGACACCACACCAGGCAGGAATGTTGATCTGCCTGAAGGTAGGAAGGCTTTATGGAAGGGCTTGGACAGGCTGGATTGATGGGACGAGGCCAATTGTATGAGGTTCAAGAAGGCCAAGTGTCAGCTCCTGCACCTGGATCATAACAGCCCCACAAAATGCTACAGGCCTGGGGAAGAATAGCTGGAAAGCTGCTCAGAGGAAAAGAACGTAGGGGTGTTGGTTGACAGTGGTCAAGTATGAGCCAGCAGTGTGCCCAGGGTGGCCAAGAGCATCCTGGCTTGTATCAGCAACAGTGTGGCCAGCAGGATGGGGGCAGTGACTGTCCCCCTGCCCTTGGCACTGGGGAGACTGCACCTCGAATCCTGCATTCAGTTCTGGGCCCCTCAGCATGAGGAGAACATTGAGGTGCTGGAGCGTGTCCAGAGAAGGGCAGAGAAGCTGGTGAAGGGTCTGGAGAACAAGTCTTAGGAGGAGCAGCTGAGGGAACCAGGGTTGTGTAGCCTGGTGAAAAGGGCTGAGGGGAGACTTTCTTGCTTTCTGCAACTGCTTGAAAGGAGGTTGTAACTGGGCCAGGGTTGCTCTCTTCTCCCAAGTAACAAGTGACAGGACATGAGGAAACTGCCTCGAGTTGTGCCAGAGCAGAGTTAGATTGGAAATTAGGAAAAAAATCTTAACTGGAAGTGTTTGTCAGGCTGTGGAAGGGGCTGCCCTGGGAAGTGGTGCATCCCCATCCCTGGTGGGTACCTGGAAGGCATCTAGATGGGGTGCTCAGGGACACGGTTTCGGGGCGGACTTGGCAGTGCTGGCTCAACGCTTGGACGCAACGATCCTGAAGGTCTTTTTCCCACTGGACCGATTCGATGACGGGTTCCCTGCCGGGCGGGGAAGGCCGGTGCCCGCCGGGGCGCGGCCCCTTTAAGGCGGCGCGGGCCGCGCTGTCCCTTTAAAAGGCGGCGGGAGGCGGCGGCGGCATCGCCTGCCCGCGGGTTTATCCCCCTCCCCTTTCCCGCCGGCCCGGCGTTCGCTGCCGCCCGTTAAAAACAGGAGGCAAGATGGCCGAGCTGGGCAGCAAGGGGGTCACTGCCGGGAAGATCGCCAGCAACGTCCAGAAGAAGCTGACCCGGGCCCAGGAGAAGGTGGGGAGGGGGATGGAGGAGGAGGAGGAGGAGAAGGAGGAGGAGGCGGCGGGGAAGGGGG